AATTATTCCTTGTCTCTAGTTTATCTGTGGTTCTTCATTTAGAGGGGCATTAAGGCAGAACTGACTGAATCAGTGTCGGCAATGGGTTAGCTATATTCAGTAATACTGTTTTCAGAACATAGTTTTACGTGCTTCCCACATAGTGTAATATAGCTAAGTAGGAGATGGTAAAAAATGAATAGTGAAGGGCTTTCTAAAGCTTAGCTGAGCTCTGTTACAAAACAATTTTGTATAAAGATGACAAAGGGGACACGTTTTTAAAATTTGATAAGATATACTAATACTGTCATTTCTAATTGAGTAAGAAGGAAATTGCATTTTGGAGTATTAGAAAATGTGTAGCATGCATCTCTTCCAAAAATACCCCAGATTTACATCAGGGAAACTGTGAGATTGTGCAGATACAGCCTTGTTAGAGGAAAATGATACAGCAGAAAGTGATCACCCAGAATCAGCAATATCCATAGAGTCAAGACCATTGAAGAGGTGGCAAGGTTTAAAAGAAATGAAATAAATAACCTATTTATTTGGAGTTAACTGGCATTACATATTTCTAATTTGCTTCTAATAGTGTCAGAGACAACTATTAGAAAATGATTTAAAACAGGCTATCATAAATCCTTAGCCATTTTAAATCCAAACACACTTAATTAGCAAATATTTCCCATAGTATCTCATCGGACTTTTCAGGGTGCATCCACTGTATCCTCAGTAGTAATTACTCAGATTCATTCTTCTCTGTAAGTCTCTGATAAGTGTTCTCTATTGTCTTTTTGGTATGAATCACATGCAGAATTCATGTAGCTTTTATTATACTTCCCCATCTTTTAGTACTATTTCACTTACATTGAACCAATAGGGTTATTTTTTTAAATTATTTTTATCTTTTTGTTTAAAAGCAACACTCTTTCATATAGTCATTCCACGGTATTCAACTTAGCTGTCAAGAAAACTGCAGCGCTCCAGTCATTGGCTTACACAGTCAAGATAATGAAATATTCCACTGGCATAATTCATTTGTATTAGTCTCCTAGGGCTGCTGTAACAAATTACTGTTAATTGGATTACTTGAAACTTCAAATCTCTTTTCTTTCATTTCTGCTGTGAAATCTAACACCAAGGTGTCAGCATGCCTGTGATACTCTGAAGGCTCTAGGGGAAATCCTTCTATCCTTTGCTTGTCTCCTTCACATTCTGGTGACGTTATCCCTTCCTTCCCTTGTAGAAATATAACCCTAATTCTGTGTCTGTGTCCTGTTCTAAAGTCTAAGGATAGTGTGCATCCCCCATCTGATATGAACTGCTTTCAAAACTTAATTTCATTAGTAAAGACTTTATTTCTGAGATCAAGTTTTAGAGGTTCAAGATTAGATATATTCAGCCCATTGCAGCCACAGAACTCAACTTTGGTACACACACAACCCATGGGAATGGAAGTGCAGAGTGTGCCACTCACTGAAAACCTTTGTTTATCCTAGACATCAGTGAGCAGGAAATGAGCATCAGTGAATTAGTGCATTGGCTAAATGGACATGAAGTTGCTTCTACTTATTTCCCCTTCAAGACATAATAAATGTACTTGTTATTGCACATGTCTAAAACTTTGAAAGGCATTTTTTTAATTTGGAAATAAGGCTGGCAACTTTTTATCTAGTAGTGTTATTAACTTAACAAAAGGAAAATGAAGTTTTTCCTAATTCATAGCTGTTTGCATACTCTGACCGTTTGAAACCATTGTGTTGCCTCTGTATGGCAACTCATAAGATAAATTCATATATTTAAAATGGCAAAGCCAGCATTAGTCCCTATGTTATATGAAGTTTTTCCTAATTCATAGCTGTTTGCGTACTCTGACCATTTGGAACCATTGTGTTGCCTCTGTATGGCAACTCATAAGATAAATTCATATATTTAAAATGGCAAAGCCAACATCAGTCCCTATGTTATACAAACCAGTAATCTAGCTTTGTTTGCCTTCAATATTTAGATAGTAAGTGTAAATTAAAAGCTACTGAAATTCAAACAAAACAGCTTTGTACTTCTTAGTAACTGTAGGAAAAAGATTAGTTTAGGTTGAAGGACTAAAAAAGTTAACCTGATGTAGGTAATTGAAGATCTGACTTTTAACTGTCCTTGTAATTCTTGTCTTCCATAACATAGATATTAATAATTTTTTTAGTCATTTTGAATCCTTAATTGTACAGATGCACAGTAAGTTCCACATGTAAGCAAGATAAACCATGAATAAATTTGAATTTAGGCTCTCACACATTTTGTTATGTAGTCTAGTTGTCTAGCCTAGCTGTACATTTTATCAGCCCCTCTGAATACTGAGATATTTTATTATGTACCTTCCTCATAGCTATTGTGATGGCTAATTGTCATTGTCAACTAGATTGGAATTGCCAAAATGTGTCTTTGGTCATGAACACTACGGTGAGAAGACTCACCCTGAAAGTGGGAGACAACAACCTTCAGTGGGCTAGAATCCCAGACTGAATAGAAATATAGAGCGAATGGAGAACAAGCATTCATCTTTCTGCTTCCTGACAATGTCGGCAGTGTGAAGCCAAAGTTACATTTTAATTACTATGCCTAAGAGATGCATGAAAGGAAAATGCCTCTGATCTGTAAGCCCCTTGCCCAAAGACAAATGGTTCCTGAAATGCTGGAGGCTATTGTTTATGGGAGATAACAAGCCATGTTATACAACACAAGTTTGGTTGACCCATCTGCCCCTGGTGTGTTTTGTCTGTCACATGTGGGTGGGAGGTTCAGGGGCAGGAAATACATCAGGATGCACACTTGCCCCTGATTTAATGTAGCCAGGAGGTTTAAAGAGTGATTTTAGGAGATAAATTTAGTGGATGGTATTTTATTTGTCTCTACTTAAAAGAACATTTTAAATGATGAATTTTCATACATAAGATATGACCATTAAAAAAAAAGATATGACCATTTACAAATTTTGTTTTTCATTTGTTTGAGATGGTCTCTGTATATAGTCCATGTTGGCCTTGGACATATGATCCTCCTCCCTTAGCCTCCGTAGTGCTGGGAGTATAGGTGTGCATCACCACATCTGGTCATATTGAACATCTTCTGGCAATGAGCTCTTCAGTTTTTCCTTAAACTCATGTCAGAATCTCTATTATTTTGCCTCATTCTACATGAACATTGCCGTTGTTTAAACAGAATGGCTCCGCAGGGACAGAAATGTTTGAATACTTGAACCCATTTGATGGAACTTTAGAAAGGATTAGAATGGGCCATCTTATTGGAGGAGGTGTGTCAGAAGCTGACCACCTTTCCCGGTGTCTCTCTGCCTCCTGCTTGTGGATCAAGATGTGAGCTCCCAGCTGCTGCTCCAGCCGCCAATCTCCAAGTCCTTGCTCTGCCCTCATAGACTGTGATCTTCCACAAGCACAAGCCCATCTAAACTCTGTCTCTCAGAAGTTGCCTTGCTCATAGTGTTTTGTCACAGCAAAAGAAAAGCAATACAAAGATCTAAGGAGCCTTTTGTGGTTTGGATGAGAAAAACCCTCTATAGAAATCAGGTATCTGAACACTTGGTCTTCAGTGGGTGGCACTATTTGGTGGGGGTTGAGTGACGTTGCTGGCTGAAGTATATCACAGGGGGATTTGACAGTGTAGAACAGTGGTTCTTAATCTGTGGGGTTACAACACCCTTAAAACTATTTACATTATGTTCCATAATAGTAGCAAAATCACAGTTATGAAGCAGCAACAAAAAATAATTTTATGGCTAGGTCACCACACATGAAAGGTACTAAAGGGTCACAGCATTGGGAAGGTTGAGAACCACTACTTTAGAGCCAGCCTCACCTTACCCAGTTCACTCTCTGCCTCATGCTTGTGATGGAGGATGTGATCTCCAGCTGCCATGCCTGCCTGGTACCATGATGGCCCCTTAACCCTCTGACACTGTAAGCCAAAATAAATTATTCCTTCTATACATTGCTTTGGTCATGGTGTTTCATCACAGCAAAAAAAAGTAATAACACCTGCCCAATGTTCAACTAGGTTTGCACCTTGAGTTTTAGCGATTATTAAAAAATAACCCAGCTCTCCAGTCTTACTCTGTCTCCAAATTGGGAGAATATATATTAAAATATTGGTATATTTTTAGTATTAATATTAAATGTCTACAGCAAATAGAAGTTTTATAAATAAGAGGGAAGTCTTTATAATGAAAAGATAATTACTGGCTAGGAATGTTACACAGAGAAACCCTGTCTCAAAAAACAAAACAAAAATAAAAGGATAATTATTGAATTTATTGGAAACATATATATCCAAACAAATTTACTACATACTGCCTACATTATATATAAGGATTCAATAACAGAGTTAGTGGGGAAAATCAAACACATCCTGAATGGCTACAACAACAGGAATATTTCTTCTCACATTACTGGAGGCCAGAAGTCCAAGATCTGGGTGTTGGGAGATTTGGTTTCTTCTGCACTCTTCTTGCTTGCAAATGGTTGCCCTCTTGCTATTACTTTGCATGGCTTTCCCCTGTGTTCCTGCATCTTTGTTGTCTCTTTTCCTTACAGGACACCAAATCCTATTGTATTAGGATTAGCCTTATGATTCGGTTTAGTTTTAGTCATCTCTTCAATTGTTCTGTTTCCAAATACAGCCACAGAATAAGTACAGGACTTGGGAGAAACTTCAGTCCAGGGTCTTGTCAGTTTCTAAGCTCTCTAGAACAGATTGCCACCTGGGATTCACAGGTGAAATGAATTCAGCAAGAGGAGAGTTTGTAGAAAAACACAGAAATGTTCAGATAGCAATGTAAGCAATTTAGGAAGAGAGGGAAAGGAGGCTGTGTTGCCTAATGTCTTGCTTTGTCTTATTATTTTTACCCTGATTTCTTTAATGTTCCTATTTAAAAAAAAAACAAAAAACAAACAAAAAAACCTGCAATTTCCTGGAGTTAGAGATACCTGTGGCATATGTCTCTAAGCTGCAAGTTAAGTCACATTAGTTAGTGCAAGAGTCCATCCCCATTTACAGGGCATCTGATGAAGGGTCAGCTGTGGCAACTCCACTATGATCCCATTTGGCTTTAAAGAAGTCCAGGTCAGTGGCTTCCCTTCACCCAACAATGCTACCTGTAATTAGAAATACAGACAATGTACAAATGTTCCGAAGTACATCACTGTGACATCCACTTTCTAGGGTCCATCTTTCCCTTTAGCACTCACATACTATTTTACATCTTACGCCTATTCCCATGTTACCCTCAAGAGGTAAACAAATATGTATAGAGATTGGGAAAGGAGAATGGAGTACCAGAGTGCTTGAAGAGAGGATGAGAGATAGGAAATAAATAATTAGGAGCAATTTGCCCAATTCAGGCCTGCCCAGTTCTTAGGCAGTTTGAATAAATATTTCCTTCTCCTGATCAGCCCCCACTGTTAGATTTTCCAGTGAACTCCACTGTCAGTAGCATATGAATTTAGCCAATGATACCTAGGATTGTTTTGCAGTCTTGGTTTTGTTCATACAAAGTGAATTCACATAAGTAGTTCTATACATACCCAAGGGCTATTTGAACCATAATATTTTATCACATGAATAAATACAAAATAAAACCCCTAAATTTTAATTGTATTAATTAATTAATGCCATGCAAGACAAGGATAAAAAGAATAACCGCTGCCGTATCCAGGCTGAGGCTGTGCTTTAACCTTGGATCTGAAATCTATCCTTCAGCCTGGTCATCCTCCAGTGTTGGAAATAAAATGTGGAAAGGTAACACAAGGGAAATCACATAACACTTTACTCCAAAGAGGTTATCAGCTTCTTAAGGGCCCCAAGGTATATCAAAGTGCACTTCACTGGGTCTGATGACAAGCCTTGAATTAAGATAAAATCATAACATCTTATTTGACTCAGATGTGTTCTTGGTGAGGAGTCTAGGGAAAGCAATTAAAGTTCTATGAAAAACTCATTTTCAATGTATGGAGTGAACTTGAACACCACAGAGTATGAAGAATGATGCCTATTTTATATTATACATGGAGGTACTGTAGTTTATAAGTTCAGATTTCTTAGAATTTCAAAAAATTGTGGCTAAACAGCTGCCATTGTTGCATTGTCTGAACTCATTTTAAAGTAACTTTTTCTTAGGTGCAAAAGGATCCCATGGAAGTTTCCCCTTGAAGTTAAAACAAGTTATGCTCTCCCCAGCATGTTTTAGTCAGCAATTTAAAGGAATAGTCAAGATAAAATTCTTTCTTACCTCTGTTTCCCCCAGACTACCTATGGGTTGTTCGAGAAACAGCTCTCTTGAGACAGGCCACTTAAGAAAAATAGCATAGACTATTTTTTCCTCAGGTTTATATGTGTACCTGGTTACAGAAAACAAACAAACAGCATAGCCAACAAGTTATACCCCATGTTTCTCCTTATTTATGGATCACATCTGGAATTGTCTTACAGATATTTGACAAAGTCACCACTGGTAATATAAAAAGGCCTATCATCCCCACCCCAATCCCATGGTATAAAAAGTGCCTCCCTTTTCCAGCCCTCCAATATTAAAAAAGTTGTTTTTTGCTCTGTTTTGTGACAGAGTCTTTTATTTATTTATTTTTGGTTTTTTAAGACTTGCAGCCCTGGCCGGGCGTTGGTGGCGCACGCCTTTAATCCCAGCACTCAGGAGGCAGAGGTAGATGGATCTCTGTGAGTTCGAGACCAGCCTGGTCTACAACAGCTAGTTCCAGGACAGCCTCCAAAGCCACAGAGAAACCCTGTCTCGAAAAACCAAAAACAAAAACAAAAACAGAAACAAAACAAAAAAGACTTGTAGCCCTGGCTGCCCTGGAACTTACTCTGTAGACCAGGCTAACGTTGAACTTAGAGATCCACCTGCCTCTGTCTCCCAAGTGCTGAAATTAAAGGTGTGTGCCACCACTGCCCAGAAAGACAGGGTCTTAATCTGTACTAAAACTAGCCTTGAACTCACCGCTAGTCTTGCCTCAGCCTCTTCAGTGTTGGCATTACAGGTATGCTGCTATGCCTGACTAAAGGGGAGTTCTGGGGAGAGAGCTTCATGAGCTAATATCCCTACCCATACCACTCACATGGAGGTAAGTAGAGCTGCATGGATTTCCTCCTGCTGACTCTAAGTCACAGGGATATGTATGTAGTGTGCTTATTATTAGGGATGCTACAGAAAGCCAAACACAATTCTTATTTTTATATAAATAATTCTTATTTTCCATTCTCTGGCTTAGGCTAGAATGGAAAAATCAGACAATTTTCGAATCACAACATAAAAGAAAAGAAAACTTAAAAATTGAAATAAAGGGTGTCTTACTTAGGGTTTCTATTGCTGTGAAGAGACACCATGACCAGGGCAACTCTTATAAACAATTAATTGGGGCTGGACAGGTTCAGAGGTTTTGTCCATTATCACCACAGCTTCACCACATGGTAAAGTGCAGGCTGACACAGTGCTGGAGGGGGAGCCGAAAGTTCTACATCTTGATCCGAAGACAGCAGAACCAACTGTGGAACTAGGCTTAGCTTGAGCATAGGAGAAGACCTCAAAGCCCACCCCCACAGTAACACAACAAGGCCACACCTACTCTAACAAGGTCCACACCATGGGGGCCATTTTCTTTCAAACCACCACAAAGGAACTTTTTATTTTTTAAAGAATGGGACATCACTTCTTAACCAAGAAACACACATTTAACCCGAGTCACAGCATAAATGAGAATATTAGAAATGATAAGATGAATTCACTCTAGACAAAGATACATTCATGTGCTCACCCAATTTCTCAACAAAGTATTTATAGAAATCTGCAAACAGTCCTCAGTTGTGTTAGTACTCAGGCATCTGTACTGGCCTGTCCTTGGCGTTCTGACAGGATACATCCTCAGCTGAAGCCACTAAGAGCACCACCTGTGCACATTCACTATGTTCCCTTTTAAAAGGGCCCTGCTCACCTCCTCTCTCTCTCTCCTCTCTCTCTCTCTCCTCTCTTCTTCTTCTTCTTCTTCTTCTTCTTCTTCTTCTTCTTCTCTTCTTCTTCTTCTCCTCCTCTGCCTGTCTCTCTGCACTCCCCCCCATTCCTCTCTTTTCTCATCTGCAGCTCCTGTCCCCAGAGGCTGGTCACCTCCCCTCCCCCCTTTTCCTATTCCCTTTCCCCTAATTAAAAAGAGCAACCCTCCACATGAGGTCTGTTGCATGGTGTCTTTTTCTTTTGTGTTGCTTACGTACACAACAGTTAAGGCTAGAGATACAGCATCGAACACAGTCCCTGACTTCATGTGCCCACATTTCAGTGGAATAAACAAGAATGACCACATGAATGTATGTGAAGTCCTGACTAAACATGAGGACATCGGCATGGGAGTACAAGGCTTTAATCTCTGTATAGGTTAGGGTTTCTATTGCTGTCAAAACACCATGACCAAAAAGCAGGTTGGCAAGGAAAGGGTTTACTTGGCTTACACTTCTGCATTGCTGTTTATCACTGAAGGAACTCAGGGCAGGAACTTAAACAGGGAAGGATCCTGGAGTCAGGAGCTGATGCAGAGGACATGGAGGGATGCTGTTTATTGGCTTATTCAGCCTGCTTTTTTATCAAATCCAAGACCACCAACCCAGGGATGGTATCACCCACCATGGGCTGGGCCCTCCTACATTGCTAAATGAGAAAATGCCCTACAGCTGGATCTCATGGAGGCATTTCCTCAACTGAGGCTCCTTCCTGATGACTCTAGCTTATGTCAAGTTGACACACAAAACCAGCCAGTACAATCCCAGGATGAGGCAGATCTCTTCAAGTTCCAGGCTAAGCAGGACTACACAGAGAAACAAAAACACACAGAAAGTCAAGGCCTACAGTGTTAGAAAAGTAGACCTCGGTACAACACTGAGCAGAACAGGCAGGGATAATCTCTCTGAGAGAGCAGCCATGAATCCCAAAGAACAGGAAGCTCTGTGCAAGCATACAGGAGAGCCTTCCAGGCTGAGAGACCAGCACAAAGCCACAGAGCACAAGCGTGCTTGCCTTGCAGAGAAAGCAGCAAGGGGCAGGAGGAGAGGGAGAGGCAGGCAGAGCAGACAGAACAAGGACATGATTTCACCAGGCCAAGAAGACCTCTGTAAGCCCTTACTTCTCCCTTGAGACGAGAAGCCTTGGAAGAATTTGGGTATGGAAATACTCTAAGCCAGGCATGACATCAACCTTGGTTACATCATAAAATGCTGACTAAATAAATAAACCATAAATCAATAGTCTTCTCTGATTGCTCTCTAGAGACCATATAAAAAGGACCAGGGTTCAGGGATGGTTCAGTTGGGAAATTGCTTGCCTCACAAGTGTGAGGACTTGCGTTTTAATCCCTAGAACCCACATCAAAATCTGAACACAATGGTACACATGATCTCAGCAGTGGCAAGATGAACACCTGGAAACTCACAGGTCAGCTAGCCAGGTCTATGGGGTGAAGTTTCAGGCCAATAAGAGAAAATGGCTCAAGTGAAAAGTGTCTGAGGACTGATACCCAAGGTTGTCTTCTGAAGGACTCATGCATGCTGTGTGTATGTGTACATTGTAACCACAAGTACATGCACATGCCCTAAACACCACCCCAACAAAAGGAGCAATAGTAGAAAGGATAGGGCAGAAAGTGGAGGACTGGAAATGGGGCGTGGAAACAGAAAACTGTGCTACATCCTTGCCTGGAAGATTTGGGATGTGAGGGAGAAAACGGGCTGCTGGGCTTAAAGCCAAATGTGTGCTAGTTTGACATGGTCCATATGTGACTGCAGGTCTAGTCACACTTAGCAGTCCAGGGGCAGCCTCAGAAGGTACAGCAAGATTGAACCAAAAGGCAATCTTCTGCCAAATGAGTATAAATGAGGGAGGGAGTTAGGGTACATATGATGAATTAATTGACACCCTGTGAACAATTCCCCATTCTTTCCTCCAGCTAGCTCCTGTCTCTATGATTTTGACTACTCTAAGTATCTCAGAAATAATATTTGTCTCTTTGTGACTTGGTTCTTTCACTTCACACAAACTCCTGAAAATCCATCTGCATTGTAGCATTTCCTTCCCTTCCAAAGCTGAATAATATACATATACCACAGTGTGTATGCATACTCCTTTAGCTTAATCACCCATAAGTGGATTCCATTGCTCTCAAATGTTAGTTTCTGGGAATAGAGTTCTTCTGGTATCATTCTGTTTGCATATATACTCAAAAGTGGAACTGCGGGGTCGTGGAGTAATTCTGGTTTTAATGTTTGATGGCTGACACTGCCCATCACAGAAGTGGTGATTTTGTATCCTTACAACACTGTAGTGTACAGGAATTCCAATCCCTCCAAGGTCATCAGTTGTACTTTTTAAAATAGCAGCTATTCTAAACCAAGTAGTAGTTGTGCACGCCTTTCATACCAGCACACAAAAGGCAGAGGCAGACAGACCAGGCCAGCCTGGTCTATAGAGCAAGTTCCAAGATAGATAGGACTACCCAAAGAAACCCTGTCTCAAAAAACAAAACAAAACAAAAAATAGCCATTCTTAAGGATATGAGATGATTTCTGGTTATAGTTTCATTTACATTTGACCTGAAGTTCCTTAATGGGACATTAAGTATCATTTCTGATGCTCATCCACCATCATACAAATCCTGCCACCACAACTAGGGTCTCTGTTGGGGCAGTTGGTACCTGTTACTCTACTATCTTCTCAGAACTCTGCTTTGGCTAATGTTAACTTACTGTTTGTTTTGCCTTTGGGTATCTCTTGCTTGCTAATTTGATGGGATTTAATATTGGAAAAACTAGGGATTTACTAGAGACTAAATACAAGTCAGTTTTACATTAACCACTCAGTGTTCTTTACTTGTCTAAATGTCTTCCAATTTTGCAAGAGTCATTGCCCACCACTAGGGGATATCTAGGTATTATTTAAGCAGAATTTGATAAACAATATGTTCAATGACACTCTAATTCTTACCCCTTCTCTTTGTATTTGAGTCAAGTTGGAACATGTGTGGTACAGGTAGCAGCAACTCAGTCTCTCCTTTTATCCTGTTTTCTCTCTCTCTCTCTCTCTCTCTCTCAAGCTCAGATATTTAGCGTTTTCCTCTATCAAAACAGTACTTGTTAATCAGGAAAACTTACCACACATCTGGAGTGGCAGTGTCATTCTGGGATCTCCAAGGTTGTGTTTCGTAAATAGCCTCCCCGTTGACTTTGAGCCACATTCCCATCTGCCTTAATCGCTCCTCAAAAATCACAGGGATGATGCCATCTAGTGTGGGACCAATATTCATTAGAAGATTTCCTCCACATGCAACTGTTTCCACAAGTTGCTAAAAGAGAAAAAAAAAGGAACAAATAATGTTTGAAACAGAAAAAATAATTCATCTCCCATGTGTTAATCCATATGTATTGTGTGTGCATATATATGTAAAATAGATAATCACTTCATACAAAAATACAGAGGATAATGCCCTAAGTTTGTGGCACTATACTATCCCAATCAATCATAAGAAAAAAAATCCTTGTAACCACCTCATCATTAAGAACATTCCAGAGTAATAGCCCCTATAAAATATTTTACTATACCTTCACCAATTCTTCAATTGTAAGATAATCACTGATTACAGCTTCCCGCCTGTAGCCCCAAGAGAATTGATCTATTGTCATGCAGTTTTCCCATTTATGTGGCAAAAGATGTCCAGGATTATATCGGTCGCTGCAGGTATAGTAGCCACCATGCTTGCAGATGGAACCAGCTCCCCAACGATCATTGGTGACTACCGTGTTCCGAACCGGGCTGAAATGAAAAGTGGAGTTTTTCTTCAAGGAAAAGCACTCTTGAAACAAAAGGTATTGTCACCACAAACAAATCTTCTCCAAATCCACTCCCTACAAATGGACATAAGTCAGTAAGCCTGTGTTTCCGAGGCCAAATAAACGTATGGTGACTGGAGCCTTAACTCTCAACTTCCAGTTTCTAGGCCTGAAGCAAATTCCTCAACTTCTCTGAAGAATGAATTCCTTCACTGTTGTTACAGCACAGATAACTGGCAAATAACCTGAGTCCAGCGATGAGAATGTACATGACAGCACTATAGAGTACCTGAAGTTGCCATTCTCATGTTGTGAATGGTACACTAAGCTGAATTAATACTCAAGACAAGTGTTTTTTTTCCAAGACAAAATAGCCTTATACACCTTTCCTAGCCTTTCTCTTATAATTTGTGCCTACTATTGGAAAATCTCGGAAAAACTGAATGCTGACATCATGTGAAATATACTCCCCAAATTTTTTATGTCTGGTGGATAAAGCAGAGGGAACAGGACTCCACTTACAGGGGCAGTTTTGACTCACAAATTGAAGTGAATGGTTCTAATCATTCCTTGATTTTTAAATTGATTACAAAACCAGTTTAGTTGTAATTGAGTTGTTTACTCCTGATTAATTTTACTAAATCCTGACTGAGCTAAAAAGCATTGTCTATAATATTTCTTCCTTCCACACCACAAATAAGCACAAAGACAGAAACGTAAAGGCTTATATACACTTAGAGTTGCTTGAGGCAAGTAGAGATGCATGACTGTACATACCTTTCATTATACAGCCAAGCTAAAAAACCTGTGCTGTTCCAGTAGCGATCTGGTGCACCCCCATCTCCATCTGTCCACAGAATGTCTGGCTGGTACTTGTTCACTAACTCGTAGAGCTCAGGCAACATCTTAGAAATGGGAAATTGCCGCTTCTGGAATGAACTGAGTTTATCCTCCAGGAAGAGTGGGTGAAACCATTCAAAAAGGGAGTAATACAGTCCAAAGCGCAAGTCAGTGTTTTTCGTGATGGCTACCTTAAGCTCCTTGACAATGTCTCTCTTCGGCCCCTCATCAACTGCATTCCAATTCCAGGAATACTCTGACCCCCACAAGGTAAAACCTGGAAAATGACAATGGAAAACCCCTGGAAGCATTATTGCCTTGGTAATAATCATTGTTATTATTATTACCTTGACCTTGATAGATTTCAACCCATGAAACAATTCAAATGGAACACACAATTCAAGTCTTCTCCAAATAACTGTTCCTTGGCAGACTTCAGTCTGTCTTGTACTAATCTAAACAAACAGATGAGAATGTAAATAACGTGGGATTGGTGTTTTTAAAGTAATTTTCAGGATGCATTGTAAGAGCTGTATATTCCATCTCCAGTTTACAGAGCTAAGGTTCTTGGGGAACAGCATGGTGTCTGCAATGGTTTTTGGCTACACCCTCCAGCCAACTATCAGCACAGCATATAACCAATAATAGTGGATAGCCTCTAAGAGAGGGACACCTTCTACATTAGCACACTGAGCCATTAGCTCCACTATTCGGAGTAAAGCCCCAACGTGTATCTTCTGCAGGATTTGTGTGCATTTTCTGAACCAAGGGGAAGCTCTGCTGCTTGGATTGCTTTCATTACAGTGTGATTCTCGGAGTACCAGTGAAGACAGGAAGCGGACCTCTGGTACTTGATAATTACTTTAAATGGAGAGGGAAAAGATATGCTATTTCCAATAGTTCTGTGCTTGTTACCTCCCTCATCTTACTCTAAAGCCATAAACTTGGCTATAGTTTCTTAAAGTACCCCAAACTGAGTATTCTACTAACTACAAGGGTATGAAAAATAACACACAGTGTTACAGTTTGGAGTAATTCCCATTTCAACAGGAATTGGCATTTTATGTAAAATGTTAGACGAAATAGATTAACTGAGATGCTGAAGAAATAGTAGAAAATCCTCAGAAATTTTGACGCATGCCTTAGGCCCTTAAGAACATGCCTTAGGCCCTTAAGAACTTTGTTACTGTTCCATTAAAATCTTTGTTTGTTGTTTGTTTGTTTGTTTGTTGGGGCCCCAAATGTTATTTCTTAGAAATATGCTCGGCCCAGCCAAGAAATCTAGGAGTTCAGAACTCCTATTGTCTTTCAGATCCCAGCTGATTACCTCTGGGTACCTGGCCTGGTGGGGAAAGGCTCCTAGTTTGTGTAACAAAGACCTAGGCCCTGGGCAAGTCTATGCCCACCCTGAAGGCTAGTGAGTAAATTAGGCCTATGAGTGTCTCTAGGATTAAAGGAAATTTTTGATATCAGCTCTATACATGACAATAGATGTCTTCTGCCTGCTTTTAGAAAGCTATTTAAGAGGATGCTTGAATAACAGTGGTCTCCAGTATTAACTGAGAGCCCTCCTGAGATGGCTAGATGTCTCTGTCCTCTGTCTCTCAACGTCCTTGGGTAGCTAGGCTTTCCCTCATCCACACTTACTCAGGGTCAGACCTGGGGCTGTTCACCTGGTTCACCCCAAAGACATCAGTCTGGAATAGATGGCCTCTGCAGTGTGGGACTGATACAGGCCAGACCCCGGCAGTTTGGTTTTGTTTTTCTAGACAGGATTTCTCTGTGCAACAACTCTGGCTGTCCTGGAACTAGCTATGTAGATCAGGCGGGCCTCAAACTCACAGAGATCCACCTGTTTTTGCCTCCCATGAATAGACATTCACAAGACACCATTGCCATTCACATCACTACTATGTTAGGACAAGCCTGAGAAACGACTCCGTCTTTAAATTCATTGTAAGAAGGTCCTCAAATAGTTTGCCCTTTATCTTTATCTAAGGATGTCTGCCAGAAGCTTGAAGGCAGTGTCAACATTTAAGGACTGCCTCAAAACTTTCAGTCCAACAGGCTGTACAAAGGCCACGTGGCTCTTCATCTCAGTACATTACCCCAAGAACACAGTGACCCTCCTCCTAGCTGAAGCCAACAGTACAGTTCCTATTAGCAGTGTTTGGCAGCACAGGTCCTTGAACCCAAACACATACTGTCTGCATCCTGTCCTCATAGTGTAAAGTAGTGGTTCTCAACCTGTGCGTCGTGACCCCTTTGGGGAGTAGAACGACCCTTTCACAGGGGTCACCTAAGACCATCAGAAAACAAAGATATTTACGTTATGATTCATAACAGTAGCAAAACAGTTAAGAAGTGGCAACAAAAGAAATTGTATAGTTGAGGGTCACCACAACATGAAGAATTATATTAAAGAGTCACAGCATTGGGAAGGTTGAGAACCACTGCTGTAAAGGTATTTGGGCTTTCTTTTCAATGAACTCACTTTGTGTCAGATAGTTGGGAAAGTTCCTAGACAGCAGGAAACTGACACATCTCCCAATGTCAGGAGAAATATCTAGAGGAGGAAATTGGGCAGCTACCAGACTGCGGTCAAAAGGGAAATATTTAGGATAACTTCAGACTTTTGGTTTGGGTTCATCTCACCTGCCTCCTTCCCACCCCTGCAGAACATAATAAGGTGACTTTTTGAGATAAAGAAGATTATACAAAATAAACTACCTTGTGCATTAACATGAGTGTAGGATAACATGAGCCAGAGCTTCTCTGGTCTTAAGGGCACTGAGTAGTTATAGCAGAATTGATTCACAGCTCCTGTGTTACCTTATATTCTTTCGATATTTCTGGACACTATTGTAAGTCTCTAACTTTTCCCAGGAGGTCTCTCTCTTTCTTTCACTACTAGCAACTTACCCACTACTCGCATACATAAATGTTAGCCTAAAGTATGGCCAACTGTGCATGGAGTCAAGACTAAGGCAGCATAAGCCCCATAATGCAGAATGCATTATAGAAGAGAAAGGGAACTCAGCAGTGGTGGCACACGCCTTTAATCCTAGCACTCGGGAAGCAGAGGAAGGTGAATCTCTGAATTCAAGGACTGCCTGGTCTAAAGAGTGAATCCCAGCCGGGCGGTGGTGGCACACACCTTTAATCCCAGCCCTCAGGAGGCAGAGGCAGAGGCAGGAGGATCTCTGTGAGTTCGAGACCAGCCTGGTCTACAAGAGCTAGTTCCAGGACAAGCTTCAAAGCCACAGAGAAACCCTGCCTCAACCCCCCCCCCAAAAAAAGAGTGAGTTCCAAGACAGCCAGACTTGAAACCCTGTCTCAAAACAAAATAAAACAAAAGAACAGGAAGGGAAGTGTGACTCTGGTTGTAGACTTTGGCTGCACTCGTTCTCTTCAAACAGCTTTAAATAAAGTCGGTTACTTATTTAAATGGTCAAACGTGCACTTTAAAACCAAGCTCATCTTTCCTCCCATTCTGTGGTACTAGCTGTCTGGGTCCATAATGCTTTCCAACTGAAGTGACCCTTAGGCTGTAAGCAACTGTCAAATATCCACCTCTGGTTATTCCCAGAGAAGCTGGTTTCATAGGATTAATTGGCTTTAATGTCTCCACCCAAAAGAATGACCTTACACTCCCGAACCTTTGCAGGCATATATTGTATGTGCCCTGCTTACCTTCATGATGTTTGGAAGTTAAGACAAGGTATTTGGCACCAGAGGCCTGGAGAATATCTGCCCACTGGCTAGCATTAAAAAACTTGGCTGTAAATAGCACTCCAAAATCTTCATATTTAAAACCAGGAGGGTAATTATTGTTCATAAAGTCCACAAACTTGGGTCTCTTCTCCTTTTGCCAATACCACCTATGGGAGGAAAAGAAAGAGCACATGGATGTCACGAAAATAAATACTTGAAGTAATTGCCTGGGCTTACCCTGTCATTCCTCCCCCCTCCTCACCCCGAGAGCATACACACACACACACACACACACACACACACACACACACACACACAAACACACAGGCAGATTATTGCTATATTCTCTGTCATTTCTTTACCAGTGCAACTTTGCATTAAGGGCAGCGTATGCAAACCAATACTCTCTCCTTGTTCTTCATCTTGTCCCTCCTGATGTCCTCTGTTAATCCAGTCACTGATCCTCCTAATTCTTCGCTTAAGTCATGACATAATCTTTGCCATCATGCATTAGCTCCCTATGGAACTTAAGTAGCTATGATTTCAAACAAGACAACAGGCCTAAAACATAACGTGCACCAGTCTTATTCATTAACAGAAAACATTTTTGGTAGATAGGGGGAAACAGTTCCATAGGCCTAGTAAATAAGCAAGCAGCATTGCCTCTTCAGTGGGACGACAGCTTTGTGTGGCTGAGACTACACTGAAAGACCTCACAGACAGCAAGCAGCATGTCCTATGCCTGACCCAAAGCCATGAGCATACTTCATGACATCCATCACAGCGACCCAGGCCCCCTAGTGGATCAGACAGATTCTGGGATTCCCTTCTTTGTTGTTGTTTTTCAAGGCAGGGTTTCTCTGTAGCCCTGGCTGTCCTGGAGTTCTTCTGTAGACCAGGCTGGCCTCAAACTCAGAGATCTGCCTGTTTCTGCCTCCTAACAGCTGGGACTAAAGTCATGCACCACCTGGTGGTTCTGGGAATTCCTGATGAAGAGAGAAACTGGCTTTCTGGTTGAAAGGTTAAAAGAGTGAATGAGTTTATGATGCCTGTCTGCAAACATCATGTGACTTTGAAGGTAAGG